GTGGCATTATGAGGAAAAATATAGGTCTTTGAACCACTTGCAACACATTTTGTACCAGGTGTAGACAAAATCAGTGGATTTCAAACATTTTGTCTCATTTTGTCTATACTAAAATTAGTATAGAATTAGTATTAGTTGCTGCGTTTTGCACTGATAATGCATTAATATATTTTTACTCAGGACACATTATGCACTGCTGTGTCTGATCCACATGTAACACACACTAACACGCCACAACCACGTCAGGGACACTGCAAATCAAATCATGTTTATTGTCACTTTACATTTACACAGGTGCAAGGTGAATGAAAATCTTAGGTGCGTAGTCCCCTTGTAGAATTTAACTACAAAATAATATATATATATATATATATATATATATATATATATATATATATATATATATATATATATATATACCGACTCTAAATATATACATATATACACAATATAAACTAGTATTGCACTATTTCCAATGTACAGTTGTTCAGTAATAAATAAAACTATGATATGTACTGTTGTCCACATTTCCATATGCGCATTTAGTGAGTCTGAGGTAGATAATAAATGGGATGCAGGGAACACAGGGGATAGAATATTGATACAGAAATCTTGCAGATTATACAAGATATTGAAAGAAGATGTACAACATGTCAATCTATATATGCAGGTATTGATTTGCTAGATTGATGTAACAGTAAGATCAGAGTGAGTCTGTTGAGGTGTGGATGTGGTGTAGATTGTCTATGGAGATCACCATGATGATGTCTCAGAGGTGTAGTGACAGGCCTATAGACCGATACACCAGCACTACTGGCTGTTCAGCAGCCTGATGGCCCGGGGGAAGAAACTGTCTCAGAATGGGCTAGTTCTGGACTTTTTGCTTCTATACCTCCTCCCACTTGGCAGCTGTGAGAACAGACAGTGGCTTGGGTGGGTGGAGTCTTTTAGAATCCTCCTGGTGTTCCTCATGCAGTGGCTGGTGTATAAATCTATGAGGTTTGGGAGCTGGACCCCAGTGATGTGCTGGGCTGTCCACACCACCCTCTGCAGAGCTTTCTACTCAATGGCAGTGCAGTTCCCATACCAGGTGGTGATGGAGCCTGTTAGAATGCTCTCCACAATACATGTGTAAAATGTTCTGAGAATTCAAGGGTTCATGCCAAATCTCCTCAGCCGCCTGAGGTAGAAGAGGTGCTGTTCTGCCTTTTTTACCACCCGTGTGGTGTGTTTGGTCCATGTCAGATCCTCTGAGATGTGAACACCAAGGAATTTAAAGCTGCTGACCCTCTCTACAGTGGCTCCATTGATGGCGATGGGGTTGTGCTTCTTGAAATCCACTATGAGCTCCTTGGTCTTGTTGACGCTGAGAGAGAGGTTGTTCTCCTGGCACCAGTGTGTCAGGAAGCTGACCCATTTCTCTGTAGGCCTCCTCGTTGTCATTGGAGATCAGACCCACAATCGTGGTGTCATCTGCAAATTTGATGATGACATTGGAGCTGTGTCTAGTTGCAGTCGTGGGTGTACAGGGAATACAAGAGAGGGCTGAGCACAAAGCCCTGAGGAGCTCTGGTGTTAAGGGTCAGTGAGGAGGAGGTGACGTTGCCCATCCTTACCACCTGGCGTTGGCCTGTCAGGAAGTTCAGGATCCAGTTGCACAAAGAACTGTCCAGACCCAGATCCCGAATCTTAATGTCAAGCCTTGAGGGCACGATGGTGTTGGATGCTGAGCTGTAGTCCACAAACAGCATTCTCACACACGTGTTCTTTTTGCCCAGATGGGAGAGGGCAGTGTGTAGAGTCAGGGCTATTGCGTCATCAGTGGATCTGTTCTGTGTGTAAGCGAAATGCAGTGGGTCCAGAGTGTCAAGTAGTGAGGAGCAGATGAAGTCTCTTACCAGCTTCTCAAAGCACTTGCTTATGACGGAGGTGCCAGTCATTTAGAGTATTTACCCTGGCTAGACTTTGGAACTTGCACAATGGTGGCCAGTTTGAAGCACGCAGGAACAGCTGAGAGTGAGACAGAGAGGTTAAAAATGTAAACACTCCTGTAGAAAGTGCGTAGAAAGTGTTCAGCTCGTCTGGAAGCGCAGCGCTGATGTTATTCACAGAACGAGTTTCCCTCTTAAAGTCCGTTTTTGTGTTTAACTCCTCCCACAGGCTTCTCGCGTTGGTGGTGTTGAACTGTGATTACACTTTAGCCCTGTACTCGCATTTGGCTGCTTTTATGGTCTTACGGACAGCATAGCTGGCTATTTTAGACTCATTCGTGTTTCCTGATTTAACAGCAGCGGTACGTGCGGTCAGAGCTGCACGGACTTCACAGTTGAGCCATGGTTTCTGATTGGGGTAAACACGAACTGTTTTTGTGGGCATAACATCCTCTATACAATTTTTGATGAACCCGGTAACAGAGTCTGCATATTCGTCAATGTTATTGTTTGACGCCTCGCGGAACATCTCCCAGTCTGCGTCTACAAAACAGTCCTGCAGCGCAGAATCCGATTCTGTTGTTGGGCGGTACCCGTTTCAGCTTCTGCCTAGGTGGGCGGTACTCTTTGCAGCTTCTGCCTATAGGTGGGCAGGAGCAGAATGGATTTGCAGCTTTTCAATTGAATGTTTCTTTTTAGCATATGATTAAATGCAGTGTCTTGTTCACTCTTTCAGTTGGGCTTGTTTGGGGTGTCAGGTGGAGATTCACAAACATTCTGACAATCGCGCTTTGAAAGTAGCTTTCAAAGAGTAGTGCACTACTTCGCAAAAAGTAGTTAAAAAGTAGCCACTACTTTTTTCTGGAAAGGTAGCTAAATTGTAGCTAGTTGCACATTTTGGGAAAGTAGCTACAAAGTAGCTAACTAATTTTTCAGTAGCTATCCCAATCCTGCATTCCAGCCATATACAGGTGTGCAGTTGGATGAAATTTCTTGAAGGCCTTGGGGCAACCTGTAACAGCACAGTAAACAAACAGTGCATAATAGGGCACAAATGTGCAGGTGTGCAAAACAGAGAGTCTTTCACATGCAGCAGCATATTAAAATAATAAGTGTCTAAGCAGCATAATGGATTCCTAGAGTGTAAAGAGGGTGAATAAAATAAGTGGCCATAATGGGGATCGTGCTTTGTTTTGGCAGTGGTCCTGTCAGTCATAGTAGTACTTTATTTGATCTCATTTGGTTTTGTCTCGTGATTTTAGGCTACACTGTACTGCAGCTGACTGCGTATTTTATCCACAAAGTGCCTCCTGCTTCATCAGTTCACTTTAGCCCACCCACACTCACCAATCAAAATAATTAACCATCTGTTGGTTTTGAAGAGATGAAGGAGAGAAGGAGAACTCTGGCTGAAGAGTTATTGCTGTTTTCTATGAGATACATGAAAAACAACCACTCTTCGTTTTTCTCATTTTTTCAATTCATTAAAATCTAGATTGAGGACACATCCGAGATAAGTGAAGCATTGAAAGTGCAAAAATAAAGACAGCCCTGCTGAAGAAATCACAGAAACCATTAAAACTTTCTGTTGGTTCCTAGTGGTGCTCAATAGTCTCTAATGGTATTTTGTGAGTTCAGACCATGCCTTTAACATGTGGTGGTAGTATGAAAGAACACTGATTGAAAGAGGGGGGAGTACTCTGAGAACTTCAGCTGGAGTTCTGGGCAGCTTCAGCCTGTAACTAGAAGGCCAGACCCCCCCTCATAGCTGTAGTGGGAGTTATGTAGGACTGAGGAAAAGGAAGGAGATGGGGTGGCGGTGGGGATTGCGAACACTTCATCTCGGGAACGGAAGGTGAGGATGTGAATTTATAGAGTGTTAGATCAGAAGAACGAGGGGTTTCATCCATGTTCCTCCCCCTCAAACTTCAGTTATAACATAACTACATTTAGTGTTTTCCTGATGGGTTGATATCACAGAGTTGGGAGGGACTGACTCCAGATGCATTTGAAGGTTTTCTAATTGGATCTAAAGGTGTCCTACAGAAAACAGCTAATTCCCATTAGAAAGCAAAACCTTCAGGTTTTAATCCTAATGGTTCTAATGGTCAGAAGACGGTGAGCGTGTCAGTGTAAGAGGTCTCATATCCAGTATGTGGAGTTGTAATATATTGGCGGCCCACTAGGGAAATAGCACACTTTGGGAAATAGCGTAGATCATTTTTAGATTTGCAGCCTTAAAACGGCGTTGAGACACGTAAAATCCTGCTACTATTACAAGTAAATACATTTCCCCTGCACATGATAAAAAATCACATGTACAGGTGTCAAAATGTTTCGTCTGTATACGATCATGCTTGGCCGTGTGCACACGGAAATATTTTGCGCGTGCACCCGTTATTTCCGTCTGTACAAGTATTTTTTTACGTCTGTACAGTGAAGATATTGCCGCCTGTAGGTGAAAAGCCTTGAGACGTTTTGGCACTATTGACTTTCGATAATGCTTGGCCGTCTGCACACGAAAATATTTTGTGCGTGCACATGATGTACAAGTATTTCTTTTACGTCTGTACACCATCTGTAAGTGAAAAGTCTTGAGACGTTTTGGCACTATTGGCCTTTTATAAAATGAGGCCGTGACTGACCTCGTCATAAATGAAAAAGAAACAAAAAAAAAACACGTTACGCGGGTACTGATACTGTGATTCTACGACTATATAATATACTAAAAATACGTTAAACTAAATAAGCAGTGTGAAAAGCCAATTTTTGACGTCGACAGTACAGCCATATTGTCTCATTTTTGTAAACAAACACTATATTACTGAAATTGTTCACTACATGTAATTTTAAACTACTTAAGCTCGTAGCTAAATGCTGTCCCATAATTATACGTTAAATAAAACATTACAATTAGAAAAAACATAGATAGACAACTACTCACAGTGCTGTCCGCCATCCTTTTACAGTGTAGAGTTTTTGAAACTGTTGCTTCAGAACTGCCTAAACCTGTGGTGACGCATGGCGCTGCGGCGCTGCAAGTATATGATATCGGCATAGGGCTCGCGCTCCAGACCACTAGAGAACGCTGAAACGATCACCTCCCATCAACTCAACAGCCAGTGTTTCAACATGGCCACCTGCGCAATGCTAAGATCTGGGTTAGGGTTCCTTCAGTCAACATTAATGGTCACAAAACAGGTAAAACGTACCGATTGTCATCTGCGTGTTTTAGAGCCTTGTAGCTTGCTTTTGTTATTTCGCAAAAGAAAGCTTACGGTCCAATTTTTACGGTCCACTGTATAACGTGTGACCTCCAGAGCAGACTTGCTGAGCTAGGTTAGCTAGCAATAAAAAAGAAACGTTTATATGTTGAGTCACAGGTAATCATGTACGTTATGTGACACAGCCATCAGCGTCTTGGGATGGTGGAGCTGCTCAAGCTCATTTAAGTTCACGTTACATGATTGTTATGTATATTTATGTACATGACTCTATATATAAACTTGATCTCACCACTCTTTTTGTGCAGACAGCTCACGTTTTCTACACCTGTGTAGATGTTTCATTAAATACATGCAAAAGTGACCCCCAAAACTGAAGAGTTCACAAACACGTGCCATCTTTTGTTTTTACTTATTTTGGATACGATGCATGACATGCTGAGCATTTATGAACTAGCTACCAAAAGTGTTTTTGGAGCCCCAAATCTCAGATTTACTCATGATCAAGAGTGGCTTCTTTTCTCCCCTCCTTCCAGTGTTATTTATTGTGGTAACCAGTGAATACTAAAAACCTCTAAATCATATGTGTCATTGAAGTTATCTTGCAGACAATGATGAATGTGCATGTCATTAACATTGATAGTTGTTATTGGCTACCGATATATAGGTCATTTTCTACTTCAGACTACCAATTTCCTTTCTTACACTTAAGTGTTATTTTTTCCAGTATCGGTTTCCTGGCTGTTACTGGGTCCTCTGATAAACACTATAATGTGTTATATGTATTTCCTCTTATTTTCATTTTTGGGTGTGTCAGTGAACATTACAGAAAATAGGCTTTTAGCAGTTATCTTTGACAGTGTAGTGGTTGTCAGCATTTGGTAGATTCTCTGGTCTCTTCTTTGTTATACTTTCTTAAAGTTTTTAAAAATGATTTAGAGCAGAATTTCCCAACCTGGTCCTCAGGGCCCACCCAAATGGACCCTATTTTTGCTCCAACCTAACTCAACCTAAGCATATAGGAATGAAGGAAATATGTGGGCCGTCTGGGGGGCCGTAAGGACCAGGTTGGGAAACACTAATTAAGAAGAGCTGCTTCGTGCCCACTCTTCACTGCTGTCCACAGACCATCCATAGTGGTTGTATTTTTTTTTTCTCCATTTCTCCACTGTGTGCCATAATGCATTGTCTTGGAATATGTATCATTTGTTGTGGTTTTCTTCTTTTAAATGAACAGAGAGGAAAAATACACCAAAAATAGTTAGTAAGATATAGACGTGTGAGCCATTCTTTTTGACTGCCAGTGATTATCTGTTTTTAATGTTTCCTGTGGTATTTTCACATGTATTTCAGGCATGCAAAAGTTCACTTGGAGTAGTGGAGCAGGTCAGAGGGTATTATGTTGACTGGAGAATGCTACGGGATGTGAAGAGAAGGCAAATGGCCTACGAGTTTGCAGACACAAGATTACGCATCAATGCCATCAGAAAAAACACTCTTTTACCTAAAGAGTTGCAGGTGCTTATATCCAACTCTACTGCCTTTCTTGCTTCTTAACCTATTTGCTCTTATTATTAATATGTAGTATTACTTTTTCTTTTATTTCCCCTTCATTGCTGTTATTGTTGTCTAGGGCTGCCAGTTTTTATTGTTATGATTAAGATTTTTTTCACTTAGGTGGTTGATACTAACATTGATCAATGAGCTTAATAATAATTTACTGATACTAATTTGTCTTAAGTGCTGCATTCAACGTGCTTTCCACTTTGTTCAGTATTTTAATGCCTTAACACCTGCAGATCTCACAGTGCTGCGAAATGTACAATGAATATTGTTCCTCTGGCTTTGATTTCTCAATGTAATCAAATCACCCTTTTTATCAGGGGAATTTTCTGTTTTATGGGTCATTTAGATGCTGGTTGATGTTTCTTACCAATCTTTTTGATTGCTGGTTTATGGAGGTGGTATTGGCCAGTTGTGCTGGGTGGTGCTCTGCAAATTAGTAGCTGACTCTTCTATTAATTACTGCTGTGATGACACTGTGCAGCACACCATAATTTTGTGAGAAAAAGTTTCTTTGGCAGTGAGATTTCATTCATGCAATGACACTACAGTTAAGGTAAAAAATATAAGTCATGGTAAATTATGAGACTTGACAGCCGCAAGTACAAATGGAAGATGAGACAGCTTTAACAATTGACCATTTAACCTCCATTAAACCATTTTTGAAGCTGCTGAATATACACCTGAAATATAACAGTCACTGATACTCCACTTGTGTTTCTGCAGGAGGTAGCTGATAAAGAAATTGCTGCCTTGCCCCGAGACAGTTGCCCAGTACGCATCCGCAACAGGTGTGTGATGACATCACGGCCGCGGGGACTGAAACGCAGGTGGCGTGTGAGCCGTATTGTCTTTAGACACCTAGCAGACCACAACCAGATGTCTGGGATACAGAGGGCTATGTGGTGAAAACATCACATTAGGCAGATTTAATACCATTTAGTGTTTGGGACTGTAAGGGTCTATATAGAACAGGCTGGAGCCAGTATGTTCAACTGCATCATCACAGCACTGAAAGTCTGAGCTCCATCATTATTTTGTTTTGTATACTTAAGATGCTGTTTTATTTTTCAGCCAAAATGAGGACATCATCCCACAACGTTGATCTTACCGAAAGCAAATGTGGTGAATGTTATGTTGTTTTCAGTATAATAAAGGTTGCGCACTATTACATGTTTGCATAGTTTCATTTATACACTTTTTATTAGGACACTTAATATATGATGTTAAATATGTTAGAGACTCTAAAGTCTTTTTTATTGGCCTAAAGCACCACTATTGGTGGAAAGACACTGTTCACAGTTATTAGCCCTTTAAGGACCTTGGCAGTTCGCTTTGTTAATAAGGCTTCCTGGGGTGTTATTTTGAAACGAGTATTTGTTTATGTATGTTTGAGAAAGTGAAATAAAGTTTTTAATTTTACAGATTTTATCAAAATGCTTTGTTGGCTAAAAAATATAGCATATTATTGTTTTGTAAAACTGTAAATAATTCATGTTCAGGAGAGATATGTGTGTAGATTAATATCCAAGACTCATTTGACTTTCAAAGAAAAGGGGTTTTTCAATAATTACGTTTTCGTTTATCACTAAAATGATGGGCATCCCCCTGTATCAGCCAACTCACTTCCGGTTGTCCTTAACTCACTTTTCTGTCTACAACGTATAATAAAAAAAAAGATATTAATTTTTGTTAGTAAAACGTACGCATTGGTGGTTTATTTTTTCCCTGATCCTGTTAAAAAAAAAATAAAAAAATTGACCTCTTGAGAAATAAGACTTTATTTTAAAAAGACAAAACCTGTTATCATTACTGTACTAAACATTAACATTCAATTACGTATTAATCACATTAATTATTATTTATAATAGCACATATACACCATACACACACAGTTAAACTTATAAAGGCAGTGACGACATGATGATCCAGCACTCAAAATCTTTTTCAGAGTGGTTCCACTGCTCACAGCTACAGAGAAACCTCACACAGGGGACAAGTGTGACATGATGGCATTGTTCCTTGGGGGATTAAGCTGTTTGCACCTGCCACAAATGTCTGTGTTGTGGTACACTGTCGTCACCATATGCAGTGGGAGACAGTGTCACCGGTATTGTGAAGCAACAAGCAAGGAAAGAAGCTTTGGGTTCCCCTTCAAGTAATGTCACACATAAGTCCAGGAAAGTTCATGTGCTCTCAGTCATTTATTAAATGTCAATTGCCAAGAAAAGAAAATATTTACATAGAACCCTATTTCCAAAAAAGTTAAGATGCTTTGCAAAATGTAAATAAAAATGGAATAAAAGAATGTGCGAATCATTTCAACCGTTTTAAAATTAAAATAGTACAAAGACAACATTTCACATGAAACAGATTTTTTTTTTTTAAAAATATATGCCCAATTAGAATTTGATGCCAGCAACACATTTAAGAAAAGTTGGGAAAGGGGCAACAAAAGGCTGGTAAAGTTGTGTAATGCTAAAAAAAAAAAAACACCTGGTGGAACATCTCACAACTAATTAGGTTAATTGGCAACAGGTCAATAACTTGATTAGACATAAAAAGAGAGGCTGATGGTGAGGCGTTTGCCACTCTGTGAAAGACTGTGCAGGCAAATGGTGCAACAGTTCAAGAATAACATTTCTCAGCATTGCAAAGAATTTGGGGATTGCATAATCTATGGTACTCAATATTATCAAAATATTTAGATAATCCAGACAGATCTCTGTATGCAAGGGACAAGGGCAAAAAACAATGCTGGCTGGCCGTGATCTTCATGCCCTCAGGCAGCACTGCATTAAAAACAAACACAGTTTTATAGTGAAAATCACTGCATGACCTTAGAAACACCTCTGAGAACCATTGTCTGTGCTGCATCTGTAAATGCAAGTTAAAACTCTACCATACAAAGAAAAAAACATATAAACAGGATCCAGAAATGCTGCCGCCTTCTCTGGGCCTGGGCTCATTTAAGATGGACTGAGGTGAACTGAAAAAGTGTCCTGTGGTCTGATGAATCAAAATTTGAAATTCTTTTTGAAAACCACGGAAATTGCATCCTCTGGGCTAAAGAGGAGAGGGACCATCTGGCTTGTTATCAACACAAAGTTCAAAAGACAAGGAGCGAAGCGATGCGGCGAGAACCAATAGGAATTGAGCATTGAACCAGAGAAGGTGTAGAGAGGAGAATTACCCATAGATACCCATACCTAGATGCCGCGTTGCCTGTTGTTCTCTATCTGAGGCAATACCTCTGTGCGTCCGTCATGTTGGAGCGGTCAAGATCTGCTTGTAAACAAATTCACTTGTATTGAGAGGTGATGAGTCTCAGGATTAAATCGGCCAGCAAATCCATCAATGTGTGAATCACTCCTAGTACACGTAAAAATAAACCCCTCAAAAAACACAGTAACAAGGACGAAGCTAAAGTTGGCTTCCTACTAGCCAGCTTCTTGTTTGAGTTTTAAATAGTGCAGCTGTCACTTTCTGGTGCCTGAAGCTGCACCATTTAAGGTGGAACAGGAAAATTCAAACAAGAAGCTGGCTGGTGCACCATTTAAGGTGGAACAGATAAATTCGAACAAGAAGCTGGCAAATAAGCTAACTTCAGGTTTGTGTAAGGTGCTAAAGTTAATCTGTTATGAATGTCTACACGGATTAAGGAATGCTATAACTTATAGCAACAAAGCAGTCATTCTAAATAAATAACTACTACATAAAGTTAAGAATGCCTGAGTATACTATTAAATGAAACAAGCTTAGTATACCACCAGAGGAAAAACAATCACATCAACAGGTTCTCTGTGCATCACCAACCACACAGCCATATCTACACTTAAGCATCGCACAAACATGAGCGTGGATCGCTGCGTTCCCTCCGTTATATAATCCTATAGAAAGCGTTCTGAGTGCAATATTCTTGAAATAGTATTTTGGACAGTATCTTTCTTAAACTGCCGCTCTGTAATGGTACTGAATGCTGTCCAGCAGCGATGTTGACCGCTACAAAAATGGCGGCGCCGTTGACGTGCCTTGATGGACCCAATGCAGCATCTAGGTATGTGCATCTATGGAATTACCACTGCAATGTCTTTCGGGTTTCTCAAACGCTAGAGAAAGCTCCTGAGCGAGTCCAAATGAATGGGTTGATATGGAGCATTTGAGCAAAATCTTAGTTTATAAACGCTAGACATTTTTAATGTAAAAGAATGCAATCATCCGAACACTGAATAGCATAAAACATTTTAACACCGCTGTTATATTTCGAGTTCGAGTTATAGGAGTTTAAAACGGCACCTCATGTCGTCAACAATGACGTCAGTGAGCGCGAACAGTCAATGAGCTGCTCCGCTCGCCAACCAATCAGCACTCACTAGCAGTAATGCCCGCCTTCTGCTGCCCACGACCCGTATGTTGTAGAAAAAAAAGGAAATATATAGGTACGTTTTCTTTGCTACCAGCTCCTTTAAGAGGACGGAGGCCTCTGTGCCACCATTTCCATGGAATTATGGTAAGTGTGCATGTTTATTAATCTTTTGCAATGTCTTTCTCTTTTATAGTGATGGCCGTTACAAAGCTTCAACACAGTTGAACCAACTGTATCCGCAAATGGTTCAGTGTTTTGAAGCATTTGTCACCTGACTCCATGCTGCCATCTACTGTCCAGTTCAATTTTCTACAAGGGCTGTTTCCTATTGATTGTCGTATTTCAATTAAAGCTTATTCGCTCAAATAAACCTTTATTACAACACAAACGTGTTAATTTGATCATTTGAACAGTAAATAAGTATACCACTGACATAATTTTTGTATTAAGAAAGAAAATCGTGTTAAAAATAACTCTATTTGTCTTCTTATCATGCATACATGATAAACTTCCCAAGAAATGAAGTGTCATATTGTAATATTTGTGGTAATGGAAATAATTATAATGATGTCAAGAAGCATTAAAAAGGTGTTATTTGAGTATGATAGCGTTTGGTCACTTATCATACATCTCACTTTATTTTGGCTGGCTAAATGAAACTGATCACATACTTGAGACCTGGCTCTTTCTTGAGCCTTCCATGATAGACCTGTTTATTTAATGGAACAACCTCTCCAGTGTTTTCTATCCGTGTATGTGCCAGTATTTCTCGAGGAAACCCTCGAGTTTGGGATTTTTCACACACTTTTGAACTTCCTCTGGGTAAGTGGGCATGAATGGGTTCAGACACTAAAATAGGCCAATTATAGATGTCTTGTTTATTTACATTTATGTACAAAAAATGCAGGAACAAGGTATAAAATATTTGAAATACGACTACTGAAAACAACAGAAACCGTTTTGGAGTTCACCAGTTTAACCCCATGGAAGAAGCCCAGGGTATTTGAATCGTTTTCAGTGATGTAACAAAGCTTCATTGGCGGTTATCATGTGACTCCAGCATTTGAAGCGAGGCACTGAATCATTGTATCGATACAATTCACAGCATGAAGTGTCGACACTGATTTGATGCTCTGGTGTCAAGCAGACATACAGTTAGGCCCAGAAATATTTGGACAGTGACACAATCTTCATGATTTGGGCTCTGCATGGATTTGCCCACATTGGATTTGAAATGAAACAACTGACATGCAATTGAAGTGTAGACTTTCAGGTTTAACTCAAGGGGTTGAACAAAAATATCTTATGAAACGTTTAGGAATTGCAACCATTTTTCTACAAAGCCTCGTCATTTCAGGGGCTCAAAAGCAATTGGACAAATTAACTTTACCATAAATAAAATGTTCATTTTTAATACTTTGTTGAGAATCCTTTGCAGGCAATGACTTCCTGAAGTCTGGAACCCATGGACATCACCAAACGCTGGGTTTCCTCCTTTGTGATGCTTTACCAGGCCTTTACTGCAGCTGTCTTCAGTTGTTGCTTGTTTGTGGGTCTTTCTGCCTTAAGTTTTGTCTTAAGCAAGTGAAATGCATGCTCGATCGGGTTGAGATCTGGTGATTGACTCGGCCATTGCAGAATATTCCACTTCTTTGCCTTAAAAAACTCCTGGGTTGCTTTCGCAGTATGTTTTGGGTCATTGTCCATCTGTACTGTGAAGCGTCGTCCAATCAACCGTGCTGCATTTGGTTGAATCTGAGCAGAAAGTAAATCCCCGTACACTTCAGAATTCATCCGGCTACTTCTGTCTTCTGTCACATCATGAATAAACACTAGTGGCCCAGTGCCATTGGAAGCCATGCATGCCCATGCCATCACACTGCCTCCACCATGTTTTACAGAGGATGTGGTGTGCTTTGGATCATTAGCCGTTCCAAGCCTTCTCCATACTTTCTTCTTCCCATCATTATGGTACAGGTTGATCTCAGTTTCTTCTGTCCAAAGAATGCTGTTCCAGACCTGGGCTGGCTTCTTTAGATGTTTTTTGGCAAAGTCTAATCTGGCCTTTCTATTTTTGAGGCTGATTAATGGTTTGCACCTTGTGGTGAATCCTCTGTATTTGCTCTTGTGAAGTCTTCTCTTTATGGTAGACTTAGATACTTATACACTTACTTCCTGGAGAGTGTTCTTCACTTGGGTGGATGTTGTGAAGGGGTTTTTCTTCACCGTGGAAAGGATTCTGCGATCATCCACCACTGTTGTCTTCTGTGGACGTCCAGGCCCTTTTGTGTTCCCGAGCTTACCAGTGCGCTCTTTTTTTCCCAAAATGTACCAAACTGTTGATTTGGCCACTCCTAACATTTCTTCTATCTCTCTGATGGATTTCTTCTCTTTTTTCAGCCTAATGTTGGTCTGTTTCACTTCCATTGAGAGCTCCTTTGACCGCATGTTGTGGGTTCACAGCAACAGCTTCCAAATGCAAATGCCACACCTGGAATCAACTCCAGACCTTTTACCTGCTTAATTGATGATGGATTAACGAGGGAATAGCCCATGCAGCCCATGAAACAGCTTTTGAGTCCAATTACCTTTGGTCCCTTGAAAAAGAGGCAGCTACATATTAAAGAGCTGTACTTCCTAAACCCGTCCTCCAATTACCCACAAATTAAAGTTGAGAGTCTGCACAACAAGCCCATGTTGATTATACAACTGTATCTTGAATATGTTTTGGTAAACAGCTAAAATGCCAAAACTTGTGTCACTGTCCAAATATTTCTGGGCCTAACTGTATATATAAACTATACAATACAATACGTATACAAACTAAAAGTTCCTTAACAGTGATTGAATTGCTAACTGAGTATTTAAGTAACCTGTCTTCAACGCCAGAGCTTTCCTGTTTTCACCTGTGGGTTGATAAAATTTAGATTATCATTAATTTCACATTTTATTCTATTCACCTTTGAAATCTTATGATCAGTAACACTACTGAATTTGTAATAAGCTTATCACTTCTGCTTTCTGCTGCCAGGAGTGAGGAGGAAGAGGAGGAGGCACTGGGAGAGGTGGACATGGCAGTTTGGGGTTATCCTAGATGTCGTGGCAAGGTCAGAGGTGGTCCTTCTTGCTGTTCCAGTGGTCGGGCCTTTGGTGGTCTGTGCCCTCTTCCGTTGTGCCCTCTGCTCCTTTATCTCTTCAGCCTCTCTGGCCAAGTCATCCTTCTGCCGCTGGACTCTGTCATCCTCTCCAGTGGTGACCCAAGCCTCAATAGGGACTCTTCCGATAATTTTCTTTTGATAATCAACCTGGGTCAGGACGTCTGCAAAGTCAGGCTGAATTAGTCCTGCTGCCACCAGAGGGATGATCGAGAGGGGCTGAGGGTCTTGGAGTGGGTGGTTGGGATGATGCAGAGGCCCTCACTGGACTGGAGGATGATGGCACCACTGAATCCTGCAGGCTGGTACTGGTGGTGCTGCACCTGGGCCAGGGGAGGGCATGAGGCAGCTTGAATCTACAGCATGTAGATTCAGAGGAAAGATGCCGCACTTTCTGAACCCATCCACCACAATGCCCCGGTCCTTCAGCTAATTAGAAGCTAGCTGTCATGGTTTTAGAGAATGTTTCACCATTTCGACGCGTCTCCTGTTCGCTGTCAACCATTTTCTGGCACTACGATAAATCTTCGGCAGCTTGAGTCAATGGCTCATACTGGTAAGGCTCAAGATGCACTGCCTGTTCAGAAACATTTCCCCCTGTCAAAGATAGGGATGGTAGTGGAGAAAATAGTCAGCCTCGTAAGACCTTTCAGTTGCAAAAGTGCTGTTTGGTTCTGTCACTCTTCATATTTTGTGGTATTTAAGGTTAGCCATAAAAACACAGCAGCCCCGCCCAACCATTTTCCCTTGCAGCCCCACCTCCAAACCCAAACATCACTACAATGCGGTGTAGTTACTGTTTAAGGTGGAATGGGAAAATTCGAACATGCAACTGGCAAAAAGAAGCTGACTTCAGTTTCATTGAGATGAGTAAGGCATGATATGAGCAGGTTGCTTTAGTTCTGCTTGACAGCTGAGTAACAAACTTATTTTTGCTGTTTCACAGAACCAACAGGTCAGCATTGTTTTGTCCCATCAGCTAATGTGATAGCTAATCACAACTGCTGCACCATTTAAGGTGGAACAGGAAAACTCGAACAAGAAGCCAGCGAAAAAGAAGCTAAATTCAGTCATGTAGGTTTAACACTTGTAGTATTTTTTGATAAGAAGTTTTAGGCTATGGAAATGTCCTACCTAGAAGTTTAATTTACGGGCTATAAAATGCACTACAGTAGGACATTTCTATAAGGTAGCTTATCAAAACACTGCCATAGCCCACCTTACTTTAGTGTAAGTGTGCTTAGTGACATCAAATTGATGCACAATATTATTACTAAGACACTTTAACCTTAGTAATAATAACCTTGTAACTCAGATGATCCAGTGATATTTTTTAGGCGTGAAAATAAAAATGCTAACTGAAACAAACATAGGTGCCATTTGCTTGTGGTTTACTTTTTGTTTCTTTCGTTGCTTTCTTATTTTGAAGTTAACCAACATGTAAATATATGTTAATTAGCACTAGGCGGGGTTAAAACTGGGGAACTGCCTGCAAAATCCAGTGAATGTATCGTTAGAAATGGCAAAGGAGATAATGAGTTTGGCGAATTGCCAGGATGAAGATTATATATGACTTAGATGTGAAGTGATATTAGACAGACTTGGCAAAATCAAAGCTTTCACCAACACGGAAGTGGATACATGCCAGAATTTATGTGAAGTGGTAGATCTTGGGGTAAGGGACCATGGCAAACCATGGCCTAGATTGGATATTTACCAAGTACACTTTGGTAAATATCCTACTAACGTAACCTAAAACTAATAAAAATACACATACACACACAGTCATATTTGCAGTTGCACACTAAATTACTAGTCACCATATCTTACACAACTGGCAACAATACAGTTAGGCTACCTTGTGAGAATTGAGCAGTTATGTTAAATGTTTGTAACTTGTGTGCTTGATATATTAGCTGGGTTTAGTATAATAGCTTGTTTCAATGGTGTTTCTATATTTGATTTTATCTTTAGAGTGTCTGACTTGTACTCAGAAATCACTGATGCAGACCTTGACTGCACTCTGGAAGAAATCCAGAAGCTGTATCCTATTTCTGGATACAGAATGATTCATGGCCATCTTTAGTCAAGTCCAAAATAAATTTAAGAAACAGACAAAATTTTAAAAATGTGCTTTCTTTTTGTACATACGTTGCATATACAATGCATTGTGAATTGTGTTCCTGCATAGTAGTACAACATGCCGTTTAAATAATTTGTTATAATGCTCATTACAAACTAACTAAACTAATTAAGAGTATGTGCTACAACTTTTATTGTTGTGTTTCAGCCTCAACAGTACAATGCTCTCTTCAAAGAGTGGAACCTGAAGGGTCACGAATAAGGGCCCTTTCAGCCCCTATAGTGAGATGTGGGCAGTACTCTGTGCCCTTCCCCAACGTCATGTGGCATATTGATGGCAATCATACCACTTATCAGGTACTCAGATACAAAGAGGATTTATTCAAGAAAGTTATCATTTACCAATTCTTTACAAACTAATTTATTTATTCATGTACTTATATTTTCATTCAGACAGAGGATAGTAATTCACGGTGGCATCAGTGGTTTCAACTGGCTGAAAGTTTATCTTTCAGCTTCATTCAGACATGCACTGTGCTCAGCTACTTCACTGCTGCTTTGAATGAATATGGCTTACCATATCAAGTACGCTCAGACAAAGGAGGAGAGAACATTGGTGTTGCTAAGTTCATGGTGGCAAACAGAGGAGAGGGCAGAATTCCCCATACTACAGGAAGAAGTGTACACAATGGTGTAAGAAGTGTAAACAGAGGTATGTTTACGTCTTATACATCGCTGTGTATACGTAAGTACCCTAAGTCTAAGCTAAGGGACCCCACGAGGTACATTTTTGTGTTTCCCTTATCTGGCGTACTAGATCTAACTCCTTAACTAATTGATACGTTCCTCATAAAACACCATATAAATATTGTAAATTTACAGCATCAGGGGTGTTAGACTAGGAAAAACAAAAGTGCTGAGTATTGGGTCCTTAAGGGGGTATTAAGCTCAATGTTGAGGAATGTACCTAAGCTCTTGTCCAATTGAGCAGGTTTGACTTTAACCTTAAGTTATCTGGTTAAGCAGAGAAATCCTGCTTTGTGAAATTCCCCTAGAACTGGCACTATGAACTACTGTTCCAAGACCAGGATGTCAAACTAAGTGGGGCACAACCTTGCAGATTTGTGTTTTCTCTCTTCTAATTCTTTCAGTCAAACTCGTTAAGACCATACAAACATTTTACCTTAAGTTGTATGTGGTGTGTTGAATGAGGTACAATGTTGAACTCTGCAGTGATGTGGCCCTCCGGTTGTTCGACAGCTGGTTATTTTAGTGACGTTATATAATCTGTTGTTGTTTTTGTTTCAGAATTGAAACATTTACATTAACATTTACAGCATTTAGCAGACGCTCTTATCCAGAGCGACTTACAAAAAGTGCTTTGTCTATCCAGAGAAAGTATCTTTGCTAGGTACCAATAGGTTAGAGAGAAAGCAAGTCCTGAGCTCAGATACTGCTGGAATCAGAAAGTCATTATTGACACCTAGAGAAAAAGGGACAGAGTTAAACACAGAGCAGTGCAATACAATACAATACAATACATAAGTGCAGTACAATACATTATAATCAATACTTCATTCAGTGATCATTTAAGTGCTGTATAAAGAGATGTGTCTTCAGTCTGCGTTTGAAGACAGAGACTCTGCTGTATGGACAGCCAGTGGGAGTTCGTTCCACCACCTGTGTGCCAACACAGAGAACAGTCTTGATGCTTGCCTTCCGCGTGCCTTGAAGGATGGCAGGTCAAGCCGAGCTGTACCCGAAGCTCGAAGGGCTCGTGGTACAGCTCGAGATTTCACCATTGCCATCAAGTAGGGAGGGGCTGGTCCATTTTTGGCTTTGTAGGCAAGCATAAGGGTTTTAAATCTGATGCGTGCAGCTACAGGAAGTCAGTGAAGGGAGAGCAGCAGTGGGGTGATGTGGCTGAACTTCGGGAGATTGAAGATGAGCCGTGCTGCTGCATTCTGGATGAGTTGCAGAGGCTTGATGGCCTGCATTGGAAAACGAGCCAAGAGCGAGTTGCAGTAGTCAAGCCTTGAGATGACAAGAGACTGCACTAGCACCTGGGTGGCCTCTCAAGTGAGAAAGGGTCGGATCCTCCAGATGTTGTACAGGAGAAATCTGCATGACATGACCGAATTAGGTTCGCGATGTGAGTCGAGAACGATAACTGGCCATCCAGAACCACACCAAGACTTCTTGCCTTTACAGACGGGACAATCAGAGAGTTCTCAAATGAGATGGCAAGATCATGATGAGGACCTGTAGTTGCAGGGATGAATAGCAGCTCAGTCTTGCTAGGATTGAGCTTCAGGTGGTGAGCTGCCATCCATGAAGAGATGTCAGACAGACATGCTGAATCCGACTGGAAACCTGTGTGTCAGAGGTTGAGAAAGAAAGCATTAGTTGAGTGTCATCAGCATAACATTGATAAGAGAAGCCATGAGATGATATTACATTACAACCAAGAGAGCTAGTGTAAAGAGAAAAGAGAAGAGGACCTAGCACCGAGCCTTGTGGGACACCAGTGGAGAGCCTGCATGGAGAGGATGTGGACCCTCTCCATGTTACCTGATATGAGCGATCCCCCAGATAGGACTTGAACCACTTCCACGCAGAGCCAGTGATTCCAAGGTTGGTGAGGACGTCCAGAAGGATTGTGTGGTTGACTGTGTCAAAAGCTGCCGAAAGTTCTAGAAGAATCAGGACAGATGACAGGCTGATCTTGCTGACTGGAGCTTCTCGGTCACTGCTATAAGAGCAGTTTCTGTTGAGCGCGCTGGTTTGAAGCCCGACTGGTTGGGGTCCTGGAGCTGGTTCAGTGTGAGAAAGAGAGACAGTTGATTATAGACTGCACGTTCAAGAATTTTTGAAAGGAAAGAAAGGAGTGATACCAGTCTGTAGTTGTTGACATCAGAGTTGTCAAGTGTGGGCTTCTTCAGGATGGGAAGTACTCTTGCAGCCTTCAAAGTTGATGGAACTTCACCTGATGACAAGGACTTGTTAATGAGAAAAGTGATGTAGGGCAGTAGATCCTTCGAGATTGACTGGAACAATGCGGATGGAATGGGATCCAGTGGACAGGTGGTTGGGTTACTGGATTTGATCAGTTGAAGGACAGCATCAGTGGAAAGAGAAGAAAAACAGTTTAAGGGATTGAGAACAAGAGGAGGAGGTCTAGTGGAAGGAGTGGGGACAGAGGGAAAAGACTGGCGGATTCTAAAGACTGGCGGATTCTCCTCAAAGAAGGTGACAAAATCCTCAGGAGTGAGAGAAGAGGGTGGAGGGGGAGGAGGAGGGTTGAGGAGAGAGGAGAAAATGCCGAAGAGCTTGCGTGGATCAGATGCTGATGCTTCCAGTTTCTCTCTGTAGAAAGATGACTTTGCAGCAGTAACTTCAAGTGAGAAATTGGAAAGGAGAGATTGATAGGAGTGAAGATCTGAGTTGAGCTGGGATTTCCTCCACCTTCTCTCAGCCTTCCTTAGTTCTTGCCGGTTGCTGCGCAGGACACCTGTCAGCCAGGGGGCAGGTGGGGAAGATCTTGCTGGCCAGGAGGAGAGAGGACACAGAAAGTTAATTGCAGATGAGAATGAAGAGAGGAAAGCATCTGTAGCTGTGTCCAGTGAGAGAGAAGAAAATGAATCAGGATGGGGAAGAGTGGTCAGGATAGTTGAAGCGAAAGAGGAGGAAGGAGTGGAGTGCAGGTTGCGTCGAGAGGAGGAGCATGAAGGGGTGGAATGGACAGGAGCAGCAGGTAGGAAGAGTGAGAAAGCTAGGAAGTGGTGATCAGAGCGGTGAAGGGGAGTTACTGTGACATCCAGGTAGGTCTGGTGAATATCAGGTCCAAAGCGTTGCCTGCTCTGTGCGTCGGAGGAGTCTGGTTGAGGGTGAGGTCGAAGGATGATAGCAGTGGTAACAGGCAGGATGACTGCAGCTTGTCCAATGGCAGGTTGAAGTCACCCAGAAGTATGAGCACCCCATTGATGGGGAAGAGACTCAGAAGAATGTCTAACTCATCAATGAAGTAGCCTAGAGGAGAAGGAAGTCTATGTATATGAACACGTCCTGGGCACCACCAGATTTTCCTTCCTCACCTTGCCTTCTTCAGATGCTTGGAACCACCACAGGCTCAGAACAGAAGGCAACCAGTCTCCTATCCAGCTTTGGATGGGACACAGAACACATACTATTGAGGATCCCATTCAGGGAAATTCTGTTCCCTGCTCTAGCACACTATCTTAACCTGCTAATTAGCAGAGGAGTTGGCAGGAAAATCCCCAAACTGTGCACAAATCCAGCTCTCCAGGACTGAGACCCAGAGTTCTCCACTGTTGCTTCAAATAAGAGCATGCTTAAATAACAGTATTGGATATTACCTATGTTTTCACCATTTTATGGTTCTTTATCGCTATACAAAGTATTTTATAGTTACTGGAATTTTAATGGTAGGTGAATAAAAAATATGGAACTGACTGGGATGGCCCAGTGAGATATAGTGAAGAGGTAATTGTAGTTCCTGAGGTTTAGCTACCATGAGAACTCACAGCAGAAGAAGTGAAATCTTTGCCAAATCCTCATGTTCCCCTTTCTGATGCAGCAGCCACAGATTGCAACACAGTTAACCAGATTAATCAACTACTAGATTGACCAAGTGACATCTGTATTGAAACTGTAGTTTGTTTGGTGTGCCTGTCTGTCATCTGTTTTTGTTAGTAATTTATGAAATTCTACAGTTAATTGTCAATCTTTACACATTGCATCGGTAGCATTGTTTTATTATTTCAGACAGTGATCTGCTCTACTTTACATGTACATAGAAAAGAACATAAAATCTGTTGACTCAAAACTTGTTCCCATTGCTTGTTTTCAATTGATGAGTTTGTGACTTTCTAAGTACAGGGAAATGTCAATGATTGTCCATAGTAATTGTATGCTACAGAGTAGCAGATAAAGACCAGGTTGACAAACTGATATTCTGTTAATATATTAGTTTTTGTGTCTCAAGTGTAACACAACACAAAACACACACTTATACAATGTATGTATTTATTGTTAATTCAGAATGTATTGCTGGAAAAAAGAATACAATTGAACAATAAATTATGTCCTTATAAAACATTCCTGGACAAATGTAGTTTTTTTGTGTCTTTGCGGTGGTGGGTTGATCGAAGGGTGGAGGAAGAGAACACCACCACTGGGGTTTAAAACAGTAAATTTTACAATATATATACAACCAGTACATGTGACGGTGAGGTCTGCCAAAGGTTTCTTTATTTTTGGTTATGAGACAAATATAGTAATGGAAGTACCCCATGGTACTGTATTAGTATTGTAACTTCAATGCAAAACTAAACTTTTAGCCACTAACTATATCTTGGCCAAGAAACTACATCTGTGGTAAGGAGAAAATTGTGTAAATTTGTTTTTTTTCCTTTCTTTTTAGAGCAGTGAAAAACATCAAATTGAACCAAATCCATATTCTGTGCTTGAAACAGCAGTTTGAAGGTCCTTACAGAAATCCTCACAGGCACTGTTATGAACAGGGAGCTTGATGGCGTGTCTACATATATGTAAAGTTGGGGTACTTCTTCTCATAGAGATGCTGTGGAAGTGAGGTCCAGCCCACCCAAAACTGGAACAGTTTCTTCAACTCCTCTGATGTACTTGTCAAAATACAAGAAAGTCTACTGTGGAGTAAGAAACTAAGTTCACATTTCAGTTCAAAATCATCTGAGAAGTATTGTCACAAGAGTTAAAATGATTATACCCAATATTTTGTGCAACATGGTGTGAACTAATACTGTTTACTGTAAAATGTTTTTAGAAGGACAAGAAACATGATGGTTGTTAGCGTTTCCCCAGTCATGAAGTCTTGAAGCCCATACTTGGTTTTTGCTTTTTTGCACACTAGAGCAGAGAAAAAGCAAAATTGCGCAGGCGAGGCCAGGGGCCATGACTGGAGTCGAGTAACTGTATTAAAGCAGCATTCAAGCAGAAGTCTGCAGGATGCTAGACCTCCATGTGTAGGCTCTCTAAAATGAGCGGAATTAAAGTCACTGAATTAAAGCTGTTTCAAGAGAGCAGGATGTTCCTTAATCATGGAGAGAACCCCAGTGTCTTTCAAACCCATTTTGATCTGCTGCGCCTGCTTTTCTCTCCGACCAACAACCTAACCTGGTATGTACCACAATAAAGCATGGAAAATATAGCCAACTTTTAAAACAAAGATGGCAAAGTATAAAGTTTATTACATTATATTTTTTTTACCATGTAGAGTCCGATTTATCAAAAACATATTTTGAGCAATAAATTAGATTTGTGAAAACCAAGAGTTTTGTACAAATGTCTGAAAATGAAAACTGCATGTAAATTGTAGCCTTTTACAGAGATTTGAAAAAATGAACATTTAGAGATCAATATGCTTCTTTTAAAGTAAGGGTTTGTAGTGTGTAGACTGATAATAGTGTGTAGGCTAACAATAGTGTGTAGCCATTGAGAGAAAACAAAAATTTAAAAACCTTTAGTTAAGCTCTCATTCACCATGAACCGAACCGGAGACCACCCAACTGTGGATTTCGGTTTCAGTTTAGAACCTACAGTACCACCACTGAATAGATATTATTGGGGTGGTGGACCTTTCTCAGCACAGCAGTGACATTGTAGTGTGCGTGCTGCTTTTAGAAGAGTATCGGACAGCAGGGTTGCTGCCATTCTAGATGTATAGGGTGCTTTTTATATAGTAGATGTTTATGTAGAGAAAAACAATATTTTATGAGAGATTCACTAAAAAAAAGATCATTAAGTTACATGAATTATAAAAACAAAAAATTGCAAAAAATAATGCTTAACACTCACCAAGATTTAGGTCAAACCCAAATTTAACTCTGGGCATCACAAAGGAGAGGAAATGACAGACACTGTCTCCAAGGGCTGAATCGCCTAAGGGAGCAAAAGAAAATATAAATACATACCTATACTCCAGGGGTCTCTCTCACAAAACAGGATTCTTTTGCTTGGCCAGCTAAACCACTCAACACCTCCTCATATTTCACTCAACAGGCTGTTGACCATAAACATTATGCTTTCATATGCACAAACAGAGTTAATTACAGCCCAGCTAACTAAATGGGGATTAACAGAGAAATTTGTTGGCTGCCCTCATGAAATAAATTAGTCACGATTTGATGTGTTAGGTTTTGTGAAGTTGAAACTTAAGGTTTGAGCTTGCTTTGTGACACAGGCCCCAGGGTCCAATCTATACTGGCTGCTGTAAAGGCAAACTCAAATACTGCCTTAGGAACAACATTTAGTTCTAATTCCAAAAGAATCCAAAATTATAGAAATGGCAGGAATCATGGCTTCTAATGGTATTTTCTTTTGCCATAAGGCAAATTTGTGCCCCAAATGGGTCAGCAGGATCTAGCTTTCAAAAACATTTAAATGCATGTTGCTGGACAACCACAGACGCAATAGATCCCAAGACTATTATTTTAAAAGATTAGCCACAAGAAATTGCATGCCTGCAAAATATGGTGACTTTTCACCATACCATCACAAACTCACAGTGGCTAAACTAAAGGAAATATAGTTTAAAAGATACTGTGACCCCCTACAGATGCTCTTCAAGAGGCAACAGAGAGTGCAAGCATAGACTATACATAGCCCTGAGGATGACTGAAAATGGGCGGGCCCATCAAAAACCATGCCTTTTGTAGAATGTCAGCATTTCTCTTTCTCTGTCTTGAGGATCTCTTGTGCAATCAATCCTTGTCACTAGCGCAGTTGCTCTTCAGCTTCTGGAAGAAGATTTCTCCAAAACTTATAAGCAGCGAGCTTCAACTCTGGTTCAAGTTTCCAATCTATGAAAATACAAAATTGAAGTGAGAAAAGAAATGTATGTGCAATCAACAAAGCTCCAGTTTCTTCTAATATTTGACTCTCCAGACTGCCCCTGCCTCTGGCCTCCAGGACTGAACCACGGCTCTCTGAACTAAACAAAATATTTTGTATGTCATTCTGGAACATTCTGGACAACAAAATTCTGTATATGTAATGACTAAGTTTATGATTTGCACTGGTCTAAATGGTCCAATGGTTTACTGTAAGGAACTAATGGCATGGCAAAATAGTTCCTTACAGTAAACACATGTTGCCGGCCCAATTCCACTCATTGCTTTAGATATATTCTAAAACAGCATTTAAAAAAACATTAAAGGTCACATTACAGAATAATTTTAAAGAACTGTTTATGGTTAAATGTAACAAATCGTTACCTGAACACAAAAGAAAAAGATTCTATCTGTTGAAACATTCTACATTTGATTTGATTAATTGTTAGTGTAGTTACATTGGTTGGAAATGCCTCTTCACAGATCATTTTGCAAGCTAACTGTGTTCTGACATTTACCAAAGCCTTTAAATGCTGAGTAATTTCAAACTTACCTTATTATGCATTTCATGAAAAAAGGCAAAGCCAAGGTAAAGCTTGGATTTTCTTTTCTCCATTAGCTTTTCCATTTTAGATATGGCCATGGTATACCAGAATAAGGACTAAAATAAAATGACAAATAGCTATTTTAAATGTAATTTTATTTTTGTCAGAAATGTCTTGTGCTTATATGAAAAAAATATCATTTAATTTTCAATTCTGGCATGATATTTACACAGATGTTTGTAAAAAGAAATGGCAAAAAGAGGTTTGCATTTACATTTTATTGTTTTAATTATAATATCTTTTTTGACCGGATTTCCCTCCCAGACCTGGCCTCTTCCTATTTCCCCCGTTATATCAAAAACAGGACTACAAAATGCCAGAGGGCACTCAATGAATGGGGGTGAAGGGAGTTAAAAACTAAAAAGGCTAAAAACGAAAAGTTAAAATAGTTTCTAATCATTCACCCAGAACTTTCCTTTAATTTTAGAAAGTAGGAGGATGTATTTAACTAAAAAAGCAAAATAAATTATTCTGTACTTTTCTTTTTTTCTACAGCGAAAGGGTTTTGGGCAGCAGGATGCTAGCATTACTGCTACTGAGTGTTGATTGGTTGGCGAGTGAGGCAGCTCATTGGCTGTTCGTGCTCACTGACATTATGAACATACATAAAGGCACACTTTTAAACTCCCGTAGCTCGAGTTCAAAAGTGCTCAAAATATAACAACGGTGTTATAATGTTTTATGCTGTTCTGTGTTTAGAAAATGAATGTTATTATTGTATATTAAAAATGTTTACGCATTTATAACACTCAAATGCTCAAAATCTAAACCCATTCATTTCGGATTTGCTCTGGAGCGCCCTCTAGCGTTTGAGAAACCCGGGAGTGGTAATTCCATAGATGTACATAACTAGATGCCGCGTTGCCTGTTGTTCTCTATGTGAAGTGATGCGTCTGCGCGTCCGCCATGTTGGTGCGGTCAACATCCGCTTGTGACCAAATTCGCTTGTATTGAGAGATGATGAGTCTGAGGATTAAATCGACCACAACTTCCTTATTACTCAACCGATTTTCACCAAATTTGTTTTGTTATAATCCTCAGACATAGATTAATCTAGGTTGCATGGACTGCTCTCGTAGCTTTTATTTCTTTAATAACTGATTGTGGTATTTATCCATCCGGACAAGCGGGAAAGTATTCAGTCTGCACCTGACGCGAGTTTTCTGGTGCCTTAAGCTGCACCATTTAAGGTGGAACAGTAAAATTTGAACAAGAAGCTGGCAAATAAGAACCTAACTTCTGGTTCGTATAATAAGGTGCTAATCTATTATAAATATCTACATGGGTTAAGGACTGCAAGGACTAATAAATAAAATAAGCTTAATATAAAACCAGAGGAAAAACAATCACGCAGGTTCTCTGATCTGTTCTTCATCACCAGCCACACGGCCATATCTACACATAAACATAACACAAACAATACGCATCACATAAACATGAGCGTGGATCGCTGCGTTCCCTCCGTTATGATCATATCCCACTTTCTGAGTGCAATATTTTTGAAACAGTATAATTTTGGACAGCATCTTTCTTAAACTGTCGTTCTGTAATGGTACTGAATGCAGTCCAGCTGCGATGTTTACCGCCCTAAAATGGCGGCGCCGTTGACGTGCCTGGCTGGACCCAACGCGGCAGGTATGTATATCTATGGGTAATTCTCTCTACAGGTCATCTTTTGTTGAAATTGAAAGTAAAGCGCGAAACGACAATAAATCACAAGCAGATGGCGCCTATGTTGATTTCCATTTGCAGTTTATTTTGACACTTAAAGCGCGTCCACGCGGAAAACTGAATTGCAAACGGTCACTTTGCTGTTCATTTATACAGTTTGCATTTTCATTTTAATTTTGTCACATATGCAGCCTATTGCTGTGAAGAAGAAATAACAACGTAAACATTGCATTTTGTTTACTTTTTTAGTTTTAGATGTATGCAAAGCCAAAGTGAAGCTTGGATTTTCTTTTTTCTGTTAGCCATTTCATTTTTAGTTATGGCCATGAAGTACCAGATGATGACAAATATGAAATGACAAATAGATGTTTTAAATGTATTTGTCTATTTATTGGTTACAAATGACTCGTGCTTATGTGAAAAATTAAATTGCAAATGTAGATATTTCATTTAATTTTCAATTTTGGCAGGATATATGCGCAGGTGTTTGAAAAAAAGAAACAGCAAAATGAGGTTTGCATTTACATTTTATTGTTTTAATAGTCTTTTATATATCTATAGGAAATACGCAGTACGCGGAAGTAGCCGATATTGGGGGACTGCCGGTGTTAGGGGACGTGACGTGAACTATTTCTAGAAAGAGTTCTGGACATGCGAGTCTGTCAGTTTAGATGTGCAATTCAGCTGGTTCGCTGTAAGTCGAAAAACTAGAAAGTATCTGCAAAAACACTCAAACGTGCGCAACAGACGCAATCATGGACCTTCGTGAGCAGGTAGGACCGCTTTTACCCATGAACGTTTTGAACTGAGGCAGCATCAGCTAATGTGGGCTAACCGAGTGTTATAACAGGCGGGTTGGTGAATAGCAGTCTGTGTGGTCTGTTTAAATGTGGGACGTCAGATATTAGTTTAGCTGGTTGGCTAGTTAATGTAGTAAAGGCTAAATGAAAGCACTGGAATGAATGACCTTGTCATTCATTCTAGTGGACATGTTATTAAGGACATGAGCCTGTGAATGCTAGCGTTAACTAAACCTAGCTAGCCTAGCTACTTTACCCGAGCACTGTTGGTTAAGAGGGATTCGCCAGCAAGAATGTTAACTAGCTAAGTGGATTGGTTAATCCTGTTAATATTTTGTTCAGACTTCGGGGCTTGAAAACGATTTGAAAGAAGTAATGCGTCTTCTGGGGCTTTGTGAAAGCAAACGTGTGCAGGACGTCCTCTCCCAGGAGCAGAAAAAGATAGAGAAGGAGCTCAGTCAGAAACGGCTACAGACGGAACAACGGGCAAAGAGGGACTCCGGAGACAAGGCAGACACGACAGTGAAGGGATATACAGTTAAAATAAATAATTATGGTATGTATGTCCTAAAAACGGACCTCTTTTCTTCAATGAATAAAGGCCTACTATTATACAGGCTTATAATATAACAGGTTTATAATATAATTTAGGCTTATTATAATATCTCTTTGATTTGTATTGTTTTGGTTTGGTTTGGGTTTTTTTATTAATTTGTTTGTTTGTTTGTTAGGTTGGGACCAGTCAGACAAATTTGTAAAAATCTACATCACACTAAAAGGTGTACATAAAATCCCAGCTGAAAATGTTGAGGCCAGCTTTACAGAGAGGTACATTCATCTTCAAATATGACAGTCACTGATTTTTATGGGTGGATTTTTATGTTTTCTGAGAGGAACTGCAGTTTTATAAATGGTTGTAATATTTTGCGCAGCATCTGTTTAATACATTAGATATAATGTGATATTTGCTGTGATGAAACATAGTTTGTCTTTTTACAGGTCTGTCAATGTTCTTGTTAAAAATTTGGATGGAAAGAACCATCAGATGATGATCAACAACCTCTTGGGCCCCATTGTTGTTGAGGAGAGCAGTAGAAAGGTTTGTCTGTGGGTCTCCGTGCATTTACACTGAAGGTGGTGAATAAGCAGGTGCAGATCTTGAGCTTCAGTGAATAGCATCTTAAGCTGTTCGTTTAACAGGTGAAAACAGACATGGTACTAGTAATGTGCAAGAAGAATACAGCAAAGAAATGGGAATGTTTAACGCAGGTGGAGAAACAAACTAAAGAAAAAGAGTGAGTATGCTACGTTATGTTCTCTTACATTTATCATATAATGTTAAGAACATTGACTTAAATATGTGCAGTGTTTCATATCAAGTCAATGCTAAAAAGTGGAGACTGGGACCATTCATATATGTACTAAAGTAATAATATAGTGTTCATAAAAAGTATAACAAGGATAGAATTCAAGGGTAGTGTGGAGAAGAAACATGGAAAATTACAAGCATAAGAAAAGAATTTGAAGGACAATATTAAATAAAAATATTAAAGTCAACTTGACTTTTTTACCTTGTTAGTTCATGTTCCTTATCATTTTTAGTGTGATGTATCATACAGTGTCATATTTAAAAGACAAAATTCTTGTTTTCTCATAATTTTCCATCAAAACATAATGACTTTTGCTTGCCTTTAAAATATATTCAGATTTTTAATTACATCACTGTGCACCAGCAGATGGGGAAAAAAATATCAACCAATAGTATCATGTTTCACCTCTTCCTCCCACCACCCCCAGGCCTCCCTGCACGACTGGCACAGAAAAGCTGCCATCAGCTATATGCGTTTGAGTTGGTCTGGATACAGTTTTTATAGTCCCTCAGTACTGGTGACAGTTAACTATATTACCACAGTAATGGCAACACTAATGTCTTGACAGTTTAAAGTGGTTATTGATTTATTTAATGCAAACCACAGGAAGACACATGTTCCCAAACATGAACAACTGAACCTCTAAATGTGTTGGGTGATGTGATATCATACATTTAATACCACATTTACATTTCGATAAATGGATATGAGTCTGTGGTGGTTGTAGAAACGTGACTGTTAAACTGTGCTGGTTGAACATGCTTGGTGCAGCAGGCAGATATCATGTCTTTACATAATGCCACCTAGCTTACCGTGTCTGTTTTAAATCACTTTCTGACCACAGCATCAGGTTTCAGACAGACAAAACGAGTTTGGCTCTCGGGGAAAAATACATGAATTATAAACATGTCTCAGCTCTTGTACATCATGCAAAACTGGCCATTTTCTGTGTTTTTTTTTTTCTGTTTTTTTGTTGGTGTTATCACTATTATAGCTATGTGTGTCAAGTAACCTTTGTGGAAATAAAAAAGTTAAAGTAGTAGTGAAAAAATAGTAAAGAGGTTTCCAAGTTTGTTTTGAATTTAATGTTTATTGCAAAGTTAGATTTAGAATTGAAACAGTTCAGGAATAAGTAAGATAAATCACAGAAAGAGGCTGACACATAAGAAATAAGAAATAAAAGAACATTTTTCCAAATGAGCTACAAATTGACATATCAGCATCAAACGTGCTCAAAGTGGCGTTTGGCACCACAGCGTTCTTGCACACGTAACGCTCATAATGTAGTAATGTTTTTAGATTGCCTAATCAAAGAGATTAATCACTGTCTCTCATTCTGTCCATTGTAAAATTGCCGTTTTTGTCAGAGATGTGAGAGTATGTCTGTGGTTAGCACCAGCCCATTTGCTTTAGGTGGTGATGCAACAAAACAGTGATTTATTGTAATTGTATTTTGGTCATCACAGTTCTGAAAGTTTCAACTATCAGTGAATTTTTTTATTTTTTTTTTGTTTTTGTTTTTTTTTGTTTTGTTTGTTTTTTTTTTCCCAAAATAAATGATGCTTTCAAATGGCTTGAATGCAACCAGCAGGTGGCATAGGTTCACACTTTCCTCCCCATCATAACAAATATGACTACATAAAGTGTTTACCAAGGGAGAGTGCTGATTTAACACTCATATATAATAAAAGAAATAAATTTATATAAAAAAAACATGCTTTATTATCTGAAAGGCATTCATAAAGCTAGATTATTACTTTGAGATTTGATGCACATATGAACCATAGCTTGACTGATATGCTTTGCATTAACAGTGCCTTTAAAACCTCATTCAGGAGTGTCTCATGAAGCACATTCAGTTAAGTGAGGGTTCATGATTAGGTTTCAACTTCACAAAATATAATTCGTGCAACAGTGTTCTGTGACAGTGGTTAGCTGCCCAGTCATCCACTGTTGTTAGAAAATCCAAGCTTAAATTGAGCAAAGTTTAAAGTTAGCTGGCTAAGCAGTAAATCGTGCTTAGAGAAACAGGTACCTCCTAATAGATTTCAGTTGACCGACGGAAAGCATTGTAAACATATGTTACTGTATTACTGAGAGTATTGGTTTTGGCATTGCAGTAGGAAAAAGGTTGCTATGATTGCTATGATTTTTGAATGAACATTTAAGTGCAGCACATTTGAGCACTTGCACGGTCAGAAAAAGGGTACTGTTCAGGTATGTTTTGTCCCCCCAGGGTACACATAAAGTAAATGTACCCTCATGGTCCTCAAGGTCCAGTTGTGTACCTTAAATGAGTTATACTATATTCTCTTTCCCATAGGAAAGGTTGATAATTGTACCATGGCAAAAATGTAACATGAAAATACTTGCATACAAAATTTTTAGTTTTCAGAAGCATGTTTTTCTGAAGTTTGCAAAAACAACAACTTACAAAAAGCAGTAGCACATTTATAAAAATAAACAAAAACAGTGGTACAGTGTGCAATGTTATTGTAGTTAGACATTTACAAAATAAAATATTTAAGAAGGAGCTGGAGGGGAAAAAACATTTGGCAAAAAATAAACGAGATAAAGGCATAACAGATTGACTGCATTAGCTACTTGTTACTATAGCATTTGTGCAGTTCCTACCCAGTGGTTGTATAAAGTGGTCTAAGTCTGTCTTTTTTGTGATGCATGCAGTTGTTCAGTGTTGTACAACAGGGTTTCTCAACTTTAGTCCTGGGGACACTGTGCCCCATACAGTTTCTCTTCCCTGCCCCAACACACCTGATCCAGTGTACAGAGAGCTTGATAAGTATTCTGTAAGTTAGATCAGATGTGATGAATAAGAAACTATGCAGAGCTAGAGTTCAGAACCACTGAATATACCCATGACATGCTTTGAAAAGTGTATTGAGACTTAATTTGGCATGAAAATACTAACATATAATGTTGCCTACCCCTTTCCTGTAGTAACATATGACTATTTTGTCTTCAGCAAACCTAGTTATGATGAGAATGCAGACCCGGGAGAAGGACTGATGAACATGCTGAAGAAGATCTACTCAGAGGGTGATGACGAAATGAAGCGGACCATCAACAAAGCCTGGGCTGAGTCTCAGGAGAAAAAAGCCAGAGATGATTTTGACTTTTGAGTCTTCAATCCCTCCAACAGAGTGAATCATCGCACTACCATTTTCACATACATGCCATTCCTGTAAATGACTTTTTGTATTTTTTTTATTTTATAGTGTTTTATTTGCATCCTGTCCAGCTGAAAGTACTTGATTACAGAACATTTAAATTAGTTCTGCTGTTCTGCAGTTGTTATTTCTTGCCCTGTTAAACAATTGAAATCTGTTTGGAAAATGTTAATGTTTTCAGGACTGTGTTCAATGAAAATGAAAAATAAAAATGCAGTCTTAGGGAAATTGTAATTTCAGTGTGTTCCACGTCAGGGATACTACAGCTTTGTCAACGTTTTAAGAGTGAGTAGGAAAGGTCATACAACTTGGATGAAAAATGGTGAATGCAGTGTTTGGTCATTTAAATTACATCACTGACTAGTTGCATAAGATACAAGATGACATGCTTTTAAAGGGGAAAAACAGCAGTTAAGCAGAGGTTTTAGTGATGTTATAATTAATGAGAAAAGTCCAGTTTTCCTTTAAAACATTTTGATCAAAGAGTTTAAAATGATTAAAAATGTAGTTTCTTTCCCCAATTTGTGCTTTCTGAAATAAAATGTGACAAAATTCCTTCCCATAGGCTTCCATGGGTCACAGAAGGAGACAGCAATTTTTTCAGAAAGCGATATACTGCTAATGCAGTCATACAATTACAAACGTGTAAAATCTGATAAAGATCAGGGCTCGTGTAATTTTATAACTTCCCTGGGACTATTTTACTGCTTCGCGCATGTTTGAATTTTGGGTAGTGATGGGTTCCTGTTGTGTCCCTGAGGCCACAGGTAAGTTAGTATGGCCAGGCCAGACTATTAAGCTATCAAGTAGGTAAATAACGATTTTCAGGTAAAAATAATTAATGATTACATTAAAATACTCATTTATAGTTCACAAAGTAACGTGGGTAGGCAAGTGTGCGGCCAAAATACAAGCCATTAGGTTAACGGTTTTCTAGTTTTAAATTTCCGTTTACCCCAAAATATTCATCATAAATTCAATTACATGAGGACATGCAATGGCCAGAATATTAGCTGTCGAGCTAATAAGTAACGACTAAACAACAAAATATTTCGGCGACTTCATTAAAGAAACATCATTAGCACAATAACGTGAAATTGTAATAAGGTCGACCTATTTTTAAGCCTACAGATATACAAATTTATGTGAACCCCAAACTGGATGCAATTCTATATCCTGTGGAATATGTCTTAATTTCGCAAAAACATCTGAAAAGGAGGAAAATGTTTTGAGGAAAAATGTTGGACCATACTTGTACTATCATTCGCTGCATCTAGCCTAAATAACAGATAGAATCCACCAGGAGGCATCACAGGCCTTTTCTGGATCACCACTTCATTATGGCAAAGTAATTGTTTCATTCAAAATTGCATGTACGTGCAATATAAAAATGAAATGAATTGTGGAAACTGATTGGTTTAAGTAAAAGTAAGTTGTTTTACGGGGTGTTGGCTTCAATAAGTCCAACGTGGTTTGATACTATAACTATGAATAAAAAATACTGTCTTGATTAATGAAACCAACACACAAAGCAGAAGACCATTTTCCACGTCCAAGTATCAATGGCCGGCCACTGATGTTCTTCAGGCTCCTTGGAATACGCCGAACTGTGATTGGATCACTGCGGGATTTCATTCAGGATTTCAGACGCATTTCACTTCGTCTCCCCCCACCACTTGTTTGACGTTTTCCGGACCAATCACCTTTGTTCTTTTTCAGCACTGGCCGTCTTACCGAACCGCCTGCTACTATTACGTCACTGGTAGCTTATATACTAGTGGAACTCGTTGTCTGGGCATGTTTCATTAGCATTGAGCTGAATACGGAGGTACGCTGGGGACTTGGCGCAACAAAACTGAACCAAAACGGAGCTAACGCGATTTTCCTGGGCGTAGGAACAGACTTAATGAATGGACTCTTCCTGTTTTACCACAGCGCAGCGACGTTCGTGTCGAATAATGAATCCGGAGTTGTTCAAGCCGTCTCCGGACCGCTCCCAGGCATCCCAGCCTCCCAAACCAAGCCGAAACGCCGCGAAGTGTGAGCAAACGAAAACGGAGCTGGCGCAGGTGGTGGTCGACCCGAAAACTGGAAAGTCATACTCCAAAGGAAAGCTTTTAGGAAAGGTATTTACTTGGTTTTTCTCTAGCCTTAACGATGTCGGTAACCATACTGAGTTATAAAATAATAGCGTTGTAATGTTGGTGTTTTGTCGTTCATGTACATTTACTTCTTGTCTGTGGTCTTCAGCCAATGATGCGCTATCATGAGCCTTCTCTGGTCGCTTATTCTTGAGTGGTCGATTATAGTGTGTGTATATGGATGTAATGGCAGACCCTTTGCTCTAGCAGAGGCAGCTGCCTGGCCGCCGTTCAGTCTGTTTCTTTTCGTTTTCCCGAATCTACTTTCTCAATAGGTTACATAGGCCTACATTGTGTTTATTTTAATGAGATGTGCCCCTCCTCTTAACTACGAGTGTAATAAAGGCAAAATCGGGTTTGTGCTTTGGAAATCCTTCTTACAGCTCGCGGTTCTTTGGCATCTCAGATACTATATAGCTTTTATCTCGAATGCCGTAATGCTGCATTGCTCAGCACTGCTCATCACGGCGGCCATAGTCAAAGCTTATTCGTATGTTAATAAGATATAGGGATCTTTATTCTTTCCCATCTTTGATATTGGGGTTTGGAATATGAAAGTGCGTCGTCATGATCAAAGCTCTTTAGGTGGGGTTGTGGTGGAGGAAAAACGAAGACGTCATTGCCTTCCTTGTCTATGTGATGGAACATACATACACATCCCATTGCCACTTGTACAATAAGACAATAAGTTATTTTACCCAATGCAATCTGTTGACAAACTGCTTTTGTTTCAGGGGGGGTTTGCACGTTGCTATGAAATGACAGACCTTGCTAACAACAAGATGTATGCTGTGAAAGTTATACCACAAAGCAGAGTTTCCAAGCCACATCAGAGAGACAAGGTAAAATTAGAAGCAACACTGCTGGCTTAACACATTATCATTCATTAGTCATACAGAAAATTCTGTAACGTTGCCCGCATTGAGTTTGGTGTATTTACACTACAGATACAAGTAATTGCTATCATATTTATTTTTTTAATGTTACCATGTTTGTGTTCTTAGATAACAAATGAAATTGAACTTCACAAGACCCTTCAACACAAGCATGTAGTGAAGTTTTCCCATCATTTTGAAGACCAGGACAACATCTATATCTTCCTAGAGCTCTGCAGCAGGAAGGTGAGCTGCTTTCCTTGTGTAGCATTTAGTAACCTGGATGACTTATGCCGTTAGTGATAAATGAGGTCTTGAGCTTGAGTTTGACTGCTTGCTTTTGTTGTCACAGTCCTTGGCACACATTTGGAAAGCACGGCACACCCTCATGGATCCCGAAGTGCGTTACTACCTCAGGCAAATCATATCTGGCCTCAAATACCTCCACAACAAAGGCATCCTCCACAGAGACCTCAAACTAGGTATTGCATTTTCTGTTGAAATTGAGCTTGCTGTTTTTTGTATTGCATTATAACAGTGTCAAGCTAAGTGGTATAATAATGATGTGTGTATTTTTCACTGATTAATATGGCTCTATTTTGCTTGCACAAGTTTTTAACTGCGGAGCTAAGGTTGACTGCAGAATTGTTTTTCTTATAGGTAATTTCTTTGTAAATGAGAATATGGAATTGAGATTAGGAGACTTTGGTCTAGCAGCAAAACTGGAGACTGTTGAGCAGAGAAAAAAGTAAGCTGTTTGTCTCCCTCTGTGAAATTAAGCTTTCGAACAATACAGTTGAGTAAACATGCTAAGAGAAATGCTAAGGTAACTGACTTTGCTGTGCAGAACCATCTGTGGAACACCAAACTACCTGGCACCAGAAGTTTTGAACCGGCAAGGTCATGGGACTGAGTCAGATGTTTGGTCATTGGGTTGTGTAATGTAAGTAGATGCCATTTCCTGCTTAATTTAGCTAAATTTTAAAGATTTATCAAATGAAATGCGGGGTGGGGGGGTTGTCTACTTTGAACTTGTGCTACATTGACAAATTTTGCATTAGCTTGACTTCAGTCTAGTTCGCTGATTTCTTCAGGTACACGCTCCTGTGTGGCAACCCGCCATTTGAAACCTTAGACTTGAAAGAGACGTACAAGTGTATCAAGGAAGTGAGATACAGTCTGCCGCCTTCACTTTCACCAGCAGCACAGAAGCTAATTGCTGCAATCCTGCAGAAAAACCCCAGTGACCGCCTCACTCTAGACCAGATTCTGGCCCATGAGTACTTCAGTAAGGTTAGTAGACTGCTGCAGCACTTACTGTAATAACTAAGGTAGTCTTTGTAAGGCACTTGCTTAAGTATTATAAGTCTTTGAAATGCATAGCATTCCTAATTTTGTCTCTCTTCCTCAAATTCTTCTTTCATCAGGGCTTCACCCCAGACAAACTTCCGCCCAGCGCCTGTGTGATGGTGCCTGAACTCAACCCGCCCAGCCCTGCCAAGAAGTTCTTCACTAAAATGGCCAAGAGCCTCTTTGGAAAAAAGAAATCTAAAGGTGAGCCTCATCATGTTTCTTTTTGCTTCTTTTCCAACTGAGATCTAAGTGAAAGAATTCTCTTGGTATCTGTGAATGATTTTGTTATTTATTTATTTTTTTATTTATTTTTTTTTTTTTTACCCATTGTATTGTTCACTTATAGTAGAGAAGAACCCTAGTGAAGAGAAGGAGGACATCTCCAAGCTTGTATCAGGCATGGTGAAGCATTCCATCAGCCGGCAGATCAGCTACAAGACAGTGGGTGTGAATGAGGTATACATGACAAGGCTCTTAGTGTTTATCTTCCAGACCATGTGCTGGAACATCTTTTATGTAGACTAATGCATTGACTGATGCTCTTGCGCTATCCTGACCACAAGGCCTTAAATGTATGCATGCGATCTGCTTCAAGGCTTTTGGATTGCTTTTAAGGGAGTTGTGATAAAAAGCCTGGCCTGGGAGCCTGTGCTATTGTTGCTGGCTTGGCAGTACTGTTCTGTGGCCTGCTATAGAGGAATAATAGAGTGCAAAAGGACAGGCATTCTGAATGGTTGTCTCAGAATAGTGCTGAAATAAGGAAAGCCAAATTTAAGGCTTACAAGCTGCAGTATGACTAAAGCTTTTCCTTTAAACCTTCAACCACAAAACTAATAGCATACACCACATATTTTCACATCCATTTGACTGAAGGGAGATTAGTTTGAACTGAATTGGTTGAATTGAATGAATGCCAGAGCTGTGAAAAGGATTACTTGTTCATACAGTTTTAAAACTGTACATGGAAACTCAGTTAATAGTGCAGTATTGTATTTTGAGAGCTCATTCTTTGGCCTTATTTTGACCTTTTCTCCTACTGGCTACCTCTCCTGTGGGTCAGCTGGCCGGCTCAGGGCGTCTGGACACGCCAGCTGAGGAAGAGTCCAGGAAATCAGCATCTCACTCTTTCAAAGGCACAGTGGCCAGCAGCACTGATGGTAAATGAGCACATGGGTTAATTTTCTTAGTGTAGTAGCAAAAATTGGATCAGTATGTGTACATGCTCAGTTTAAGGCTTTTTGAGTGCTATTGTTATTAAAATGTTTCACTCAAAAATATTGGCCGACATGAAGAACTCAAAGTCTACGTTCACATTATCAGGTTGAAGTGGCACAAATGCGTTTTGTTTTTTTGTGTTTTTTATTTTTTTTTTGCCCTGATGTGAACACGCAAATCTGATCTGATGTGGTCCTAGATCGGTTACATATCCGTTTTGTGATCATGCGACCTTAATGTGAACGTTCAGATCGAAATTCATGTGCTTTTTTTTCCACTGCGTGTGTGCCATCATTCAGCGTTACCATGGCAGCAGTGCTGAACAGAAGTTAAAGCCTGTAAATGATGGAAAAGCAACTCATCTCACCTTTTTCGCCTTCGTCTCGCTCCAATAATGAACAAGCTGAGAGCTGATCAGAGTTAATTATCTTCACAGCGAAGGCTCGTTCTGACCGTTAGTCTGTTTGCTGATGATGCACGTGACACACACGATTCATTCATGTGTCATTACTGAGTAGGATGCGGGTCAATTTAGGACGCTGGTTCGTTCACATTAATGACTTTTGATTTGAGATTTGAGCAAAAAATCGGATTTGAGCAATAAGGCTTGTAATGTGAACGTAGCTAAAGTAACACTGCAGTTTTACCCCAGATTTTATCCTATAGATCTTCAGTTACAGTAAACTCTTACCTTTTGATTGTTTCTGTTGGAGCTGTCATTAATTAAATGATTCCTGTTTCTGCACAGCGTGTGAAGACATCCTGACCCCAGCAGCTGTGGCTGAGGCCGCTATGAAGGTTCTGAATAGTTGCTTATCAACCATGCCAACAGGTTTGTTCTCACACACTGCTCATGCTGAAGTGCTTGATAGAAGCCTTTAAGAATGAAAAGAATTGGGTAGAATTGAATAATAAATTAGGAAAATGGTAAAGAATTAATAAACTGGTGGAAATTTATGTTTTTGAATAATTCTAATTGTTCTTCAGCATCGAGAAACCCTCCATGTCTCACAAAACCCAAACCTTTTATCTGGGTGACCAAGTGGGTGGACTACTCCAATAAATATGGGTTCGGCTATCAACTCTCCAATCAGAATGTCGGTGTCCTCTTCAATGAAGGCACTCATCTAAGTCTGTGTGACCAGCGCAGGTAGGGCCTTTGTCTAATTAAATGATTCAGTTGGCACAAATTATAAGTCCTAAAGGTTGGATTGAGCTATTATTGACCTACTTAAGGACTTAAGGGTTCTTTCTGAATTCATTAACTTGTGGAAATTATTAATTAGGTCAGACTGACCAGACTCCACATCAGCTTAACTTGGTTCTAATGTTTTTTACCCCTCTATCTGCAGGACAGTTCATTACTGTTTGACCAACAATAAACACTTTACTTTCCAAGTTGACTCACTACCAGAACAGCTCCAGAGCCAAAAACACATAGTGGAGCTCATGGCTAACTACATGGAGCAGAATCTCATGGAGGTAAAAAGCATTAAGGAATGCAGGTTTCAGTAGAAGTCATGATTTCTCTGGGACAAAAGAACTCATAAGCTTCCACAGTGAATTAAACTGAATTTGTGTCTCTCTCCAGGGTGGAGATCTGAGCTGTGTTGAGCAGCCTCCTACTGCTTGCCCTCTTTTGCTGCAGTGGATGAAAACCGAACATGCTTTAGTCATGCTTTTCAACAATGGTTCTCTACAGGTAAGCCTTCCATTTCTCTTATTCAAATAAATTCTGTTAGATCAGCAGGTAGTCATAAATGTAAGAAATCTCAGAACACAGAGGCAGGAACAAGTGCTGCAAATGCAATCTTGCCTCAGCTTTCTAACAGTGGAGGATAAGGTGCTCTTGTGCTGGTTTCCTGGACATGGGTTAAATTAAGTCTTGTGTTAAATTTCGTTACCAATGGTGATGTTATTAATTTTGTCCATGCTTAAACGTGAAATGGCTCCTTATCAAGTAGATGAAACTTTTCCATGTCTCATGGCTCTTTCCTCCTCACAGGTAAACTTCTACACCGACCACACAAAGGTCATTTTGTGCAAGTCGTCAGACTCCTACCTGCTGACGTACATCAGTCGGGAGCGGGTGTCTTACTCATATCCTCTGAGCATACTCAGTGAATGTGGCTGCTCCTCAGAGCTGCGACACCGGCTTTGTTACGTGGTGCAGCTCCTGCAGCACTATGTCAGCGCGTGACCAAACCACCTTAGCTTGGGCTTCACATGGTCATCAGTTGCTGCTTAACAACCTGAAACCAGATCAGGGGAAGCTTCCACATCACCATGTCCTGTATCCTGGCCTCCATGGATTATGGTGCACTGTTTTGGATTTTCATTTCTCCTTTTTAAGACTTGAACCTGCACCAACACTACCAGCTTGACTTCACCATGCACCAGTGCACACAATGAAGCGCTAAGCCTGTTCCTTTCAGCTGGACTTGTGTGAGGAGCATAAAAGAGGGGCATCACAAAGGTGCTAGGTGGCCCCTGCTCAAACTCATCCCAAAGCTGTGACAAGGAGCTTGGCTTTTTATGCTTTAATCACTAGCCTTCCTTTTCTTCTTCTTTTAAAGACAGACCTTTTTAATTTCACTAAGTGATACATGTCTGACGTGGAGAGCTGTAGATTCCAAGCATTTTTTTTCTTTGTTTTAAAGCTGGCAGAGTGGCTGAAGTCTGCGGCTGTAACTCGTGGTGAGGCATGGAAGGGAGAGTAAAGTGCCTTTCTGAGGGATGTCGTTCTGGGTTGTGCAATAATGGCCCTTCTGAAACTCAAGCCCAAATAACAAATTGGGGATCAGAAGGGGCTTGTGCAGAAGAGTCTTTATTTTTCTGCTATTGATGTTGCAAGTGACTGGGTGGTGGGAGTGGGGAGCACTACAAACACACCTTGTATAAGCTTTTGCCTGATAAATGGTATTATACTTCTGTAGTATCTCTATCAGTAAGAAGAAGAAAAAAAAGTGAAAAAAAATTCATTTGTGCCTCCAACTGTTTACCTTGCGCCCTCCTCCATGCAAAGTTGTCTTAAAACTGTGACCCTTACTGCAGAGTGTTAATGAAATGAGTATTGTGTTCATCACATCATTGTGAAAAGCCATTATTTTTTCAGACAATTCTTTTTATTTATTTTTTTTTTGTGGCACATCTGTCTATTTATTTTTTTATTTGTTTATTTTTTTTTATTTATTAATCTAAGCAAATGGTGTTAACACTGGGTAATTTTCAGTATGATCAGTTTTTTATTAATTGAGGTTAGGGGGGAATAAAGTTTCTTCAAAAGCATATTATTTCTTTATTTATTTGTTTTGTCCGGAAGGCTTTCAATCATGTATTTAATCGACGACAGTATGAGCAAGAGCATTGATGAAAGAAGAAAATGGGAGCTTAAATAATTACTCATAATAAATGACCAAATGTCATCTGCTTTGATCAATATGTGTAAAGGAAGTGTAAAGTCACTAAGTGCCTGTTATGTTTGTCCCTGATACTGTGTGGATCAATCTTTTCCCCAAAATGCTCCACTGAATGTTAAGTTGGACAAATTTTTAAGGCCTTTATTACGGCTCCTGCTTACAGTACATGCCATTTATGATCACTGAAATGAAAAACAAGTGATTTTATGCTGCAATGTCTATTTACTCTTAAAATGGCATTTACCCACCTGTTCTGGCTTTTTAAACATTCATCTAATTCCAGTCCCACCTCTTTCCACTGCACACCCTATTCCATTCACAAAATGTGATAAAGGCCAAAGAGCCATAGCATATCACTTATGCTATACCTTTCATAAACTCTCCCAAAGAAATCATCAAACTTGCTAATGAGTGAAAAATACTGCTGTGATGGTTTTCATTTGCAAAAAAACTTTGCAGGAAGGCTTCACTTTGCAGGCAAAAAAAATTAATCCATGGACAACACCCAAACTCTATTTTTGAGTAATCAGCTACCAGCTTAGTTGGAGGGTGGTGGTTCAGGGCAACCAAAACAAACCATTGCATAAAAGCTTAGAAATAAAAAGTACAGATTTAGTGATTTTATAATTTGAGATAATTGCTAATGTATAGCATGCAATACAGAAAAACAAACTTCAGTGCAGCTAGCATGAAACAATTACAGTGATTAAAAGGATCAAAAGATGCTTGGTTTTTACATGCAGTTGTCTATTGTTCTGCAGTTAAGTGTTGGGGTGTTCACTTAAGCTTTTTGTTTACCCACCTTCCTTTTACTACTACATCCAAGGTTTGGAAACCTCTAGTTCAAAAAATAACATACTAGTTACTGAACATATATGTACAAATTTGCATAATGCTTATTCAAACTCATTACTAATTATGCACAATAGATGCCATATGCAATAGCAATAGTCAAAAGCGAGTGGTTTTGAAAGACGGCTGTGGTATAATCCTCTGTTTCAGTGTAAAGCAGGCTGCGGCTGGCCACTCTCAGGCCCTGTTGCCCATGCTGCCCCACCACCACCTGACAGACTAGTTTGTACCGGGGTGGGTTAACATCATTTAGCTTAAAGCGCAGCAGTTCAGCCAGTGTCCAGCTCACCTGGCCGCAGTTGGCAGGGCTATAAGACGCTCCAACCAGTGCAGCCTGCAGGATTTGCTGTGTACTCCTGCCGCTAAAGCGCCTGTTCAGTTCCGGTGTGGTCCTGTATGTGTTCTCCAGACGGGTCTCCTCCTGGATGGGCTGGTGTAGCTGTGGGTCAGAGAAGCTAATCCTGCTTCCCTGAAGCCAGAGGTGCTTTACTGTGGAATTCTGCCAGTAGAAACCCAAGTTCAGCTTAGGGTCCACAAACGCTTCCCTGCCAGAGCAGGGCTGCCTGATACAGACAAAGTCATATTGCAGGTCTATTGCATAACTGAAATGCCCTGGTGTGACACAAGTGCATACTGGCCTATTTTATTTTTATCACAATGGTTTGCATTTAGTCACTGTCATAACAAAACCACACATCTCCAGAATGGTAACTTTATAGGAGAAGGTAAAGAGACTCTGAAAGTTATATGTTAACGGTATGTTGTATGTACGTTAATGTGGTAAAATTGTAGGTCTTTACATTCATTATCAAATGCTCACAAAATGTGCAGGGCAGCTAGCATTTTCAAATGGAATTAAAAAAAAAGAAAATTATTATGACAGTAACAATTTGTTGGGCCCAGTGAATGCTTTTTTTTTGTTCAAACATCCACAGAACGATTGGTCAGGATTCTCACAAAAAATGAACAAAATGTGAACTATTATTATAAGTGGTTAGACAGCCTATTTGTATAAAGCAGCCCTCTCTGGCATTAGTACAACACAGGCCAATAGTATGATAATGGTTAGCAAATGACATATTGTGCAGCCTACTGTAGAGCGAATCTCTGGTCTTGAGATGTGACTGGTCTCTGGAGCTGTGGCGAGTAGAGACTTGGCTGAGGCAAAGGCACCCCATGCGACCCAGAAGGATAAGCGGTTTAGATGATGTGTATGTGTGTGTGTGTGTGTGTGCTACATGGCCAGTGATAAACAGCCACATCTGTGTTCAGCCAAATTCAGTTCTGTTTTATTTATGTAGAGTTTTTACAATAGATGTTGTCATAAAATCAGCTCTATAGAAATGTGCCCTGACCCAGTCGACAGAGGCAGGAAAAACTCCCTGGGGAAATCTTGAGAGGAACCCAGACATGAAAGCGGAACATGTTCTGGTCTGGGTTGCACCAAATAGAGGTAATTTACTTCTTTTTATTCACTCTCCACATTTGCAGAACTGCATGCTGCTGTCCACAGCCAGCAACAGAGCAACATCCCAAAACTTTCTACTCTGGATAAACTTTACATAATGCACTGGTCTCATGCTTGTGGACCCTGGTAGACCTTGCTGCCAACAACACGAATAGTTTTAACATGCTAGACTAAAAACATAAGGCAATAAATAAATAAGGTAATAAAAATACAGAGAAAAAACAAAGCAGGGAGATAAGGTGGGTGAGGGGGTATGAGCAGAAGTGGAAAATACTTAAGTAATTGTACTTTGTTAATACATTTATTATTAGTATTATTTTGGAAGATTTGCATTTTACTCACATGTTACTGACTACAACTAAATACTTGTACTTTTACTCACATTTCCAAGAGAAAATAAATTATTTTCACTGCTGTACTACTGCTGCTTTACTGATATGTTGTTGATGTGTTACTGATAATGTGTTGAGTTTATTAATCATCTACAAAGGATCACCCCAAAAAAAGTCTTACCCACATCTTTTTGCCAGTCCTGTGAAGCAGAATTTATTGTTTTTAAAACTTTTATTAAAATATCCAAACAAATTCATGCCAGTATAAAATAAAATGACTATGCTAAATTGTCTTTGTGTGAGGACCAGTATCACTGATTATTTACTTTTTACTTTGATATACTTTTGTATGTCTAAATGTGAGATCAAGTACATCTTTGCCTCCTTACTGTTAATTGAGTAAGATTTCGACACAATACACAGTACACTTTCTCTGTACTTTTTCCTGGATGTAAGAAATCCAGGCATAAAAATTGAACCAAACAAATCCAACATGAATAGCTCATTTCTAACAGGTTCAGACCAAAATGTCAGAATCTAGTTCAGACTGGCCTTTGCTAGGCAGCAAAATGTTGAATTTCTGTTGTAAAATGTATAAATAATGTTTGTTTATTGGACAACGTGTACTTCACTGACTATTGGTTTAGTAGTCACATAAACATAAAACAACACCATTTAAACAGGGAAATTCCTGCTTGTTGAGAAGTAACTTGGACTCAGAGCTGTGACCCCAAAGGTCACCATAACTCTTGGTTTGTTCTGCTGTCTTCCCCACACAACAGACAAAAATACACAGGCTGTGTGTTTACCAGCAGGTAATCGCCTTTGCTATTTGCTTCTATTTAAGAAGCAATACATAATTTTGTGATGATTTCTTTGTCTTCATACATGATCCATGAAACATCTTTAATCAAATGTGGCAGATTTTTCTGTTTTAATCAGTAGATCAAAACTATTGTCCATGTAAATGGACTGTAGGCTACAGACACGGCAGATAAAGATTAATCCAGCATCGAGGGCTATTTTCTAACTTACACAGTGAACATCAGATGTAGCTATATTGCTGTGTTCCACTTTATCTATTACCAAAAATGTGCTCATAAAATTATTTAGTTATAATTGTACTGGTACACATACAAACCGGATTCCAAAAAAGTTGGAACACTAAACAAATTGTGAA